CAGTCGTGGATTGAAAATGACCAATTTATTATTGTTTTTGGTTTTGGAGGATTATTATTAGGCTCTGTGTGGAGTAAGGAAACTTGCCCGAGGTTTCGCCCTCTGCCTGGAATTGAACTCAGGTCTCTCACTTGCAAAGCGAGTGCTCTAACCACTGAGCTACAAGATGTTACATTTATTGTACTGTTTTTAGATTGCTGGTAACAATGCAATAGATTTAATTAAATGATAAAGTTGGTATAAAATGCAAATTTCCCCACCTTAACATGACCAAACAAAAATCAATTCGGATAAAAAACGCTGCTGCGTTCGCCCACAAATATTGGGACGTCCTCCCGACGTGAAAAGCGCTATATCAAATGCAAGGATTATTATTATTATTATTATTATTATTGTTTAGTGAGCAGCAACGAGTGGTTAGGCATTTCAAGGATAAACCAGTCCAGTGTCTTAAAAGAGCACAAATCAAATATGTTAAGAAACATATTGACCTGCAACCGCAAAATAACTAAATTATTGCAGGCCGTCTCATGCATTTGTGAGACCGCTGAGTCGTTATTTCATTGACGTCCTCCTGACCCAATTGCCTCCGACGGTTTGTTACTTGATTTGACCGCGCTTGTGCTAATCTTTGTTCAGGCTCCTGACTGTAGTTCAAGAGTTCGATGCTGGGAGAATTCTTCATGTGCCGAGCAGCAGACTGATCAATTTCTTACCTCAGGCTCACCAGGTTGATATTCAAGCAGCTCACTCGATAATAATAATAATAATAATAATAATAATAGCCCTCGCATTTGATACAGCGCCTTATCACGTCTTCGAGACGTCTCAAAGCGCTTCACAGAATATACTGTAAAGTGCAGTGACTGTGTATTTTGGGGGCGAAACGCGGCCGCCGATTGCGCACAGCGGCGTCCCCCACAAACAGCCGTGCATCGAGTGCCCAATTTATTATTATTTTGAGAGCTTATGAATTATATTATTACTAACAATACCGTTGTTATTACTGATTGTATTATTGTTGTTATTGATATTAAACTATTAATGTTACCAATATTATGTCATTGTTGTTAATAACTGTATTACTATTGTCATTAATAATTATATTATTATAATAATATTTACGCTTATATTTCCTTATTTACTATTGTGATGGAAGATGCTACATCTGTGACATTCACTTCATTTGGTGCCTTCAACTACAAATACATACATAATCCTTGTATTTGACAGCCTTCTGAGTCGTGACGATTTAATAGGCGCTATTTCACATACAAAATGATTACTCGGTCTCCCAGTTATAATCTTAAATTCATGGCCTCTTGTCCTTGAATCATCAACCAGCGGAAATAGTCCCTCGCCATTTATCCTCTCGAATCCTTTCATCATTCTGAACACCTCTTGCGTAGAGGAGAGTGCTGTCGGCTTTGCTTCACAGCATCCCGTCGGTTGCTAAGGCTACAACAGCACTCGGTTAAGCATCTCCTGACTGACACAGATTGCTCTCCTCACCTGTTGTAACCTCTCATGCAAAACCGTGTTTGCCAGCGTACACGGGCTCTCCCCACCACTGCCCAGGTAACGGGCTCGAGTCCTGCTCTCGCCCTATTGCACCCCTCGTGGAGTCCCGGAGCTCAGGGGTTGGAGCACTCGCCTCGCAAGCGAGAGGACCCGGGTTCGATTCCCGGGTCATAATAGCAATAATAATGATCCTCGCATTGGATATAGCGCTTTTCACGTCTCCGAGGCGTCCCACAGCGCTTCACAGAATATACTGTAAAATGAATTGACCGTATATTTGTGGGCGAAACCAATTGCGCAGCCAATTGCGCACAGCAGTGTCCCCCACAAACAGCCGTGGGTTGAAAATGACCAAGTTATTGCTGTTTTGTTTTTTGGAGGGGTTATTATCAGGCGTATTAATAGCATTGCAAAGTGGGTTGACTGTACTTTAAGTGAGAGAAACGCGGCAGTCAATCGCTCACAGTAATGTCCCACAAACATTCCTGGGCAGGTCAGGGCGAAGCATTGGGGAAGTTTCCTTACTCCACACACACACACCCACACACATACCCACACACACACACCCACACACCCACCCACCCACACACCCACCCACACACACCCACACCCACACCCACACCCACACACACACACACCCACACACACACCCACCCACACACCCACACACACACACCCACACACACACCCACCCACACACACCCACACACCCACCCACACACACCCACACACACCCACCCACACACCCACCCACCCATCCACATACACACCCACACCCACACACACCCACACACACCCACACACACCCACCCACACACACACACACACCCACCCACACCCACCCACACACACACACACACCCACACCCACACCCCCACCCACCCACCCACCCACACACAGACACACACCCACACCCACACCCACCCACCCACCCACACACACCCACACACACACCCACCCACACTCACCCACCCACACACACCCACACACACACACACCCACACACACCCACACACACACACACGCCTCTGTTTACCGGCAGTCAGTAGGAACCCGGTTGTTAGTCCATTGGCGGATCGCTTTTCCAGAGGTAATAAATGCTTAAAAATAAATAATAATAATCATTCGGTCACTCAATCCACGGCTGTTTGTGGGACGCCGCTGTGCGCAATTGGCTGCCGCGATTCGCCCACGAAACACACAGTCACTACACTTTACGATCTATCCTGTCAAGCACTTTGAGACGTCTCGAAGACATGATAAGGCGCTGTATCAAATGCCAGGGCTATTATTGTATTATTATATCGAGCGAGCTGCTTGGATATCATCTTGGTGAGCCAGAGGCGCCAGATAGATTAGTTTCGATTCCCAGGCCTGAGGTGGGCGGCCACAATCTGCAGTGTCTCTCACCCTTCCTGTGTGCTAATTAACACAAGGAATGGGTTAAGAAACACCGCAAGTTTCCACTCCAATTATCACCAGCTCCATTAACCGGGTGAGACACAAATGAAAAACACAAATGACTTTTTTTTAAAATAAATCTATTTACTCGTAAGATATCAACAGAAATACAGGTTCCGAGCGGCGGTCAAATATTTGTGAATAAATTCTGAGGAACAGAGCATGCGTTTATATATATATATATATATCTGTCCCGTCAGTAAAACATGTGTTTGCAGAGAGGAACAGATTCCATCCGGATCCAAGATTGCCTCTTATTTTCTTAGCAGTTCAGAGAGTTTGGCGAATTCACGTGACGGGGTATCCTGTGAAGCGCTTTCTCGAAGACGTGATCGGGCGCTGTGTCAAACCCCAGGATTGTTATTGTTGTAAAACGGTGACAACCTGTTACGATTGATCGAGTAAAAATAAAACGACAGCGATTGAAGGATTTCTCCGATCCATATTTTATGGGTGTTATCCCAGGCTGCTTCCTCTCCATGTCCATTCACGTTCCCGATTGAATTATCCTTTCAATATGACGTGTTATCGTTCCGAGACTCCATTCTGAGTGACGGGTGCTGCATAAATGCGAGTCATTGCTGTTTTATTTCAGTCATTCACTCATTTCCTGGCTGTTTGTGAGACATTGCTGCGCACAAATTGGCTGCCGCCTTCGCCTACAAAATACACCCAGTCACTGAGGGTTGTAGTAAATCTTGCAAAGTGTTTTGCGATTCCTCCTGACGTGAAAGGCGCTATAGCAAAAGCAGGGATACAGGCTGACCTTGGTATAACAAACACCCTGGGGACTTACTTAGGAGAAAAGGAGCATTATAGAGTATTATAATTATTATTTACAATGAGAATTGTGCATATACGTATGTATCTCGCCCGCAAAATACACTGTCAATTACCTTTACAGGAGATCCTGTGAAGGGCTCTGAAATGTCTCGCAGACGTGATAAGACGCTGTATCAAATGCAAGGATTATTATTATTATTATCTATGAATGAATGTATTTCTGTGTCTACACCTGCGTGTGTGCTTTATTTAGTAAGGTGTTTCTGATAGCTACAAACAAAGCTACGTTACTTCAGAATAAGTGGTACAAATGTTTGACAGTAATATGGGTCAGAGATGGTCTGTACATGAATCTCGGGGAAAAATAGAAATATTGCTCTTCCACTCTCAACTTTAGTGACTCGACTTTATTGTGGAACAAATGCTCGGAGGTCGGAAGGTGGGGTTGAAACTGTGGTCAATGAGGCACAGAATTTTATTATCATTATCTGCTGTGTGTGTGTGTCTGTATGTGTGTGTATGTGTGTGTGTGTGTGTGTATGTATGTATGCATGTGTGTATAGACAGACAGACAGACAGACAGACAGACAGACAGACAGACAGACAGACAGACAGACAGACAGACAGACAGACAGACAGACAGACAGACAGATCGACCCAGAGTCAGCAGTGAAGAGAAAATCAGTCGAGAATTGATTAAGAACATAATAGGAACATAAGAAATGTTGGATGAAAAAACAGACCAAGGTCCATCTAGTTCTCCTCCCACCTTCCTGACAGCCACTTGCACATAAGTCCCGAACCACCTATGGACCAACCCAATCTTTCCCATAATGTGATTTCCTAAAAGAAAATTTCCCCCTGAAGATGTTTACAAAACGTGTTGATTGGAGGCCAGACTTTTGCTGGAGTGGGGAGATGGGGAGGCGGGGGAGAGGGGAGAGGAGAGGAGAGGAGGGGGGGGAGAGGTGGTGGGGGTGGGAGGGTGGTAGGGGAGGGGAGGGGGGGGTGTGGAGAGTGACAAAGGGTGATTTTCCTTCTTATTTTTTCTTGCAATCCAACGCTTACAACGTCTCGCCCACAAAATATACAGGTTGTGGGGGGGGGGGGGGGGAGGGAGTTTTCAGGCGGTACTCGAAAAAAGGTGAGCGAGGGTCCCGAGGAGATGGTGTGGACTGTTTCCTGCTCAGAGACCTCAGGCAAAATACTCCAACAGACGTCAGAAACTTAGACTCCCGTTAGGTCACCGTGGCCTGGAAAAGAGGTTCCTGAAGGCGTTGCTGTAGTTCTTGTTGAAGGCCGTGTAGATGAGAGGGTTGAAGAAGGAGTTGATGTAGCCCAGCCACAGGAAGATGCTTTTCCAGACGGGGGGAATGCTGCAGGAGCACAGGGGGCTGATCAGCTCGGTGATGAAGAAGGGGATCCAGCAGAGCACGAAGACTCCGATCAGGATCCCCACCATCAGCGCCGCCTTCTTCTCCTTCTGCTCCCTCCAGGTGTCCCCGTCCGTCTGAAAGGTCACGGTGGCGTGTCTGACCGTGAACACCATCCGGGGCTGGTGGGATGTCTCCTTCGCCTAAGACAAGAAGGTCCGAAAGGAGGAGGGGGAGAGGGGGAGAGGGGGTCGGGGTTGGGAGGGGTGAGGGAGAGGGGTGGAGTTGGGGGAGGATGTGAGGAAAGGACCACGTTCAGGACAAGAGAGAGAGAGAGACAGAGAGAGAGATTGCTTACTGTCCTACAGACCTGCTTACCCGCCCTCCGCCCCCCCACCCCACCCCAACCAACCCCCCCACCTGGCTCCGGCCTCCTGCTTTTCCCTCGCCCTCCCTCTCCCCCCCCGCCACCACCACCTCCATTCCACAATCGACCCCCACGCTTTAAGCCACAACGCCCCGAAGACTCTCCCTCCATCCCTCCGCCTCTCCCCCACCGCCCCACCCCCCCTCTCCCACTTCGACTAGTGCCTTAAGGGTCACCTCCTCCCCTTCCCCCACTCCCCCCCCCCCCACCCCCGGCTCAGCATCGTGCTCCAGGACCCTACCCTGCGTGAGGGGGCGCAGCATACATGCAAGTCGCTGTAACAATAACGAGCGCATGTGCATGTGGGTTGGGTGTCTGTTTCACGTGTGCGGGTGGGGGTGAGGGCGGGGAGCATATTTGTATGTATTTCTCCCGAACAAATACACACGGCCACTGCGTATCACTGCACTGTATATCTCGTGAAGCGCTCTGAGTAGCCTCGGAGACCAGATAAAGCCAGTGTATCAACTGCAAGGATTATTACTCTGTTTGCGTTCTTAATAATAATAATAATAATATTAATATTAATAATAATAATGCTTGCATTTGACGTAGCGCCTTACCACGTCGTTGAGATGTCTCAAAGCGCTTCACAGTAAAGCGTAAGGCGTAACGTGCAGTGACTGCGTATTTTGTGGGCAAAACACATGCACATATGTGGCGTGGATAGTGCCTGTTTGTGTATTTATTGTTTTGTGTGTACATGTATCACGCATGTATTTAGTGTGTGTAATGCACTATGTCTATATGTATCTATGGCGCGCATGTGTGTGTGTGTGGGGAGCGAGGAAACTTGCCCAATGTCTCGCCCTGACCTGCCCGGGAATCGAACCCGGGTCCTCTCGCTCGCGAGGCGAGGGCTCTAACCCCTGAGCTCCAGGATTCCATAGATCCAAGCAGAGGTTTGCAGTTTTTGCAATAAAAATGTTTTTTGGAGCTTTCCAGAAGCGCAAACTTCCAATAAAAGCTTCTATGTAAGTCTTGTATATGTACATGTTAATCAGCTGTGGCATCAGCTCACTTCCAGCAAACGTCCTTTCCATCTCTCCATCAGGACAGTGTCAACGCACTTCATGGGATATACTGTAAAGTGGAGTAACTGTATACTTTGTGATGTATATATTATGATTGCAATATACATACGTGTATATATGGTGACTGTTTATATGAACTGTATGTATCAGGCATGTGTATTGGTCGGGGCGAGACATTGGGCAAGTTTCCTCACTCCACACACACGCGCGCCTCTGTTTACCGGCAGTCAGTAGGAACCCGGTTGTTAGTCGATTGGTGGATCACTTTTCTGAGGGTAATAATCCCTTCAAAAAATAATAATCATAATAATTTGGTCACTCAACCCACGGTTGTTTGTGGGGACGCTGCTGTGCGCAATTAGCTGCCGCGTTCGGCCCACAAAACACAGTTAATTCACTTTACAGTATATCCTGTGAAGCGCTTTGAGTCGTCTCGAAGACACGGTGAGGCGCTGTATCAAATGATGATGACGATGACGATGATGGTGGTATCACGCGCGTACCTCAGGCATCGGGGTAATGGTGTTAGTCCTTCGCGATCCAATTCGAAACTTTGCGGCTTTGTAGATCTTCCAGTACACAAACAGCACGACACAGAGCGGCAGGTAAAAAGCCCCGAAGGTGGAGAAGATGGTGTACGATGGCTCTTGGCTGACTTGACATCGCTGGTCCCGCTCGGAGTAGGTCTTGCCCCAGCCGAAGAGCGGGGAGAGCGAGATGACAGCCGAGAGGAGCCAGGTCAGCACGATCATCATGTTGGAGACCTTCTTCCTGGCTCTGAGCGTGTACTCCAGGTGCCTGGTGATGGACCAGTAGCGGTCCAGGGCGATGGCGGTCACGTTCCAGATGCTGGCCGTGCAGCACAGGACGTCGAACGAGATCCAGACCTGGCACAGGGCCTTGCCCAGCCTCCAGCGCCGCCCGTTCAGCTCGTGAACCAAACTGAGGGGCATGACCAGGGCGGCCACCATCACGTCAGACATGGCCATGGAGGCCACCAGGTTGTGCGGGACCCGGTGGAACGTCCTGACCCTCAGGATGGTGAACAGAACCAGCAGGTTCCAAAGGAAGGTGGCGACCACCAGCCCGGCTAACAGGGTCAACACCAGCACACCCACCACGGACAGGGGCTTCTCCAGGAGATCTCCCACCGCCTCACTTCGGTTGCTCCAACCTGTGGCGTTGGACGCATCCATGACCTTCAACGCGATGCGAATTCCCTCCCTCCCTCCCTCCCTCCCTCCCTTACCACCCCCCACGCTCTCTCTCTCTCTCTCCGCCCCCCCGCCCAACCCCTCCCCAAAAAAACACGGTCACTCAATCCACCGCCCTTCGCACGCAGGACATGGCAGCCCGTACGCGCGGTTTGGCTGCCGCGTTTTGCCCGCAAACAAACACACAGTCGCTCTCCGCTTCACGGAGTATCCTCGCGGAGAGCTTCGCGGCGTCTCGAGGACGTGACGAGGCGCTGTATCGAAGGCGAGGATTATTATTGTTATGATTCTTGTTGTTATTATTATCCTTTCGTTTTCTTCCTCTTGGATTGGCTTCAGCGAATGCACAGACTTGTTCTCAAATGCGCATGTTGACAGATGGTGAATCACAGATCCCTCTCTCGCTCCCTCTCTCCCTCTGCCTCTCGCTCTCACTCTCTCTCTCTCTGTCTCTCTCTGCGTGTGCGCTCACTCCATTTGACCGTCCACTGGGGATGTTCTGCCCGGCTCGATGGGCTTTGCGGGCGGGTTCGGCGAAGCCTTCATTCAGTAGAGTGGCTTTAATCTAAACGAGCGAGAGAGAGAGAGAGAGAGAGAGAGAGAGAAAATAAAGATCTCAATCCTTTATGAGTGCACAAGGCATAACAAAACAGCCACTTATACAGAGAGAGAGACATACACTAAGATACACAGAGACACACACACGAAGATACAAAGAGAGAGACACATACACTACGATACAGAGAGAGAGAGACATACACTAAGATACACAGAGACACACACACGAAGATACAGAGAGAGAGACACATACACTAAGATACACAGAGACACACACATACACTAGGATACAGAGAGAGAGAGAGACATACACTAAGATACACAGAGAGACACACACACACTAAGATACAGAGAGAGAGAGACACATACACTAAGATACAGAGAGAGAGAGAGACATACACTAAGATACACAGAGAGACACACATACACTAAGATACAGAGAGAGAGAGACACATACACTAAGATACAGAGAGAGAGACACACATACACTAAGATACAGAGAGAGACACATACACTAAGATACACAGAGAGCACACACACACTAAGATACAGAGAGAGAGACACACACACACTAAGATACAGAGAGAGAGAGACACATACACTAAGATACACAGAGAGACACATACACTAAGATGCAGAGAGAGAGAGAGACATACACTAAGATACACAGAGAGACACACGCACTAAGATACACAGAGAGACACACATACACTAAGATACACAGAGACACACACAAAGATACACAGAGAGAGACACACACACACATACACTAAGATACAGAGAGAGAGAGAGACACACTATGACACACAGACAGAGAGAGACACACGCACTACGATACAGGAAGAGAGAGACACACACACACACTAAGATACAGAGAGACACACACACACTAAAGAGATAGAGAGAGACATACACACTGAGAGATACAGAGAGACACACACACACCGAGACATAAAGAGAGAGACACACACACACATAAGAGATACAGAAAGAGAGAGACACATACTAAGAGATACAGAGATACAGAGAGTGAGATAGACACACTAAGGGAAGATATAGAGAGAGAGATAGGAACACACACTAAGAGACACAGAGAGAGAGTCACACACTAAGATATACAGAGAGAGACACACACACACACACTAAGAGGCACAGAGAGAGTCACGCACACAAAGAAACACATACAGAGAGAGAAAGACATACATACTAAGAGACACATACAGATAGAGACGCGCACACACACAAAAAGACAGATACAGAGAGAGAGCCACACACTAACAGATACGGAGAGAGAAGGACGCACACCGGACAAAGAGACACTTACAGAGAGGGAAGCACGCACCCAGAGACACACACACACACTAAGGCACATACAGAGACACACACACACACACAGACTAAGACACGTATAGATATAACACACACGACGGCCAATGCATAAGAGGAGATTAAAACAAGTGAGTTGCATCTTGAAAAAAAAATCAATCTGGAAGCAAAAACGACAGACAGCTAAATATTTCAGAGCTGACTGTGAGCGAGTGAGCGAGCGAGCGAGCGAGCGAGTGTGTCCTCACTTGCCGAAGATCCTTGTTACGCCTTATAAATCATTACCTGCCTCTTGTGCCCTCAGTCAGTCGGTCGGTCGGTCGGTCGGTCAGTCAGGGAGGCAAGTCAGTCTCTTTCCGAGCAGAGCAACAAGCTTGTAATATGCAATCACTACAGAGAGAGAGAGAGAGAGAGAGAGAGAGATTGCGTGTTAAAGTGCAGGGAGACAGAGAAGAGGAGGAGGAGGAGGAGGAGGAAGGGGGAGAGAGAGAGAGAGGGGTGGGGGGGAAGCAGGGATTTCACTTGAGAGTCAAAAAAAAGCCCAGCCAACTCGCTTATCTTTGAGACGTCTCAAAGATGTGATAAGGCGCTATATCAAATGCGAGGATTATTATTATGGTTATTATTGTTATTATGATATGTAGAGAGCCCTCTTCTCTTCGCCTCACTCCCCAGGAGCTCTCGTTCCCTATTTAACAAGAGAATCCCAGCGAGAGAGAGAGAGAGAGAGAGAGAGAGATTGATTGACTCCTTCCCTTTGCGTCTCACAGGTTTACCTCCAACTGCGATCTCCGTTGGACACTTGTCTCCTTATCTCATCAGTTTAACGACACGTTTGATTTTAAAACGGGGAGGAGTGTGTGTATGCGCCTGTGTGTGTGTGGGGGGGGTGGGGAGGGGGAGGGTATGTTGGGTACTATTTATTCTTATTTATTCCTTATTTATTCTTAGCAATTTTAGCAATTGAAATGTCCTTAGCAATCGCTAGGAATTTTATTTTATTCCGAGCAATAAATGTGAAATCGCTAACTTTTTTTGGGGGGGAGGGTGGGGTGGGGGGGCAGGAGAGGGTGGGGTGGGGGGGCAGGAGAGGGTGCGGGGGGTGGGGGGAGTGTGGGGAATGCGGGTGCAAAACCTTCCTGCTCCACGTGAAAGGCTTTTCTGTATTCATTTGTTGAAATTGCTTTTGTTAATTGTATTTGTGCCTTTGTTTTGCTGAGGTGGGTCACCTTTGCTCTCTCTGTATTCCCTTCTCCGTCCAACCTTCTTCCCCCTTTGTCCCTGGTAAAGTTACTCTGGAAGGCAGGAATCTGGTACATAATAATAATAATAATAATAACAATAATCCTTGCATTTGATACAGCGCCTTATCATGTTGTTGAGACGTCTCAAAGCGCTTCACAGGACACACTGTAAAGTGAATTGACTGTGTGTTTTGTGGGCGAAACGCAGCAGCCGATGGCGCACAGCAGTGTCCCCACAAACAGCCGTGAATTCAGTTGACCAAATAATTTTTTTTAAAAAGATTGTTTTCAAGGGATTATTACTGCCCGGAAAAGCCATCCCCCAATCGACTAACAACCAGGCTGATTCCTACTGACTGCCGGTAAACAGAGGCGCGCGTGTGTGTGCGTGTGTGTGCGTGTGTGTGTGCGTGTGCGCGTGTGTGTGTGTGTGTGTGTGGAGTGAGGAAACTTGCCCAAGGTCTCGCCCTGACCTGCCCGGGAATCGGACCCGGGTCCTCTCGCTCGCGAGGCGAGGGCTCTAACCCCTGAGCTCCAGGGACTCCGCTGATCGAGTGTTGGGATCAAGTGGAGGCTTTTTTTTTGTTTGAAAGTGGCTTTGCGGATCTCGATTCGCTCTGCGAGCAAAACACAGAGATCCCACGAAAGGGAACGGAGAGGAGAGAGAGAGAGAGAGAGAGAGAGAGGGGCCTCCGTGCCCGCTATGTTCCTCTTCGCTGTGAACAACGCGCCGTCGGGTTTGCTTCCCCGGTCGATTTCCATTGCCAGACTGTGCAATGACATCTCCTTCCTGTTGGTGGGGCCAAAGGACCAGAGAAACTCCTCCGGCGTTTGGGAACGCTGGTCGGGAACGCTCAGCGGGTCAGGCAGCATCTATGGGGAGGAAGGAAAGCCGGTCAACGTGTTTGGGGTCCTTTCTCCCCCAGTAGATGCTGCCTGACCTGCTGAGCGTTCCCAGCGACTCCTGGTTTTTTGTTTCGGGTTTCCAGCCTCTGCAGTGTTTTGTCAAAGGGTTTATGTCCCACCCAATACATGACCTTATTGGGGTGGATGGGGGGGGGGTGGGGGGGCAACTCATATCGAATAAAATTGAACTTCACCACGATCTCAAAACACGCAGTTCGGTTCGATTCAGTGTTATCCCGTGAGGCGCTTTGAGACGTCTCGAAGACGTGATAAGGCGCTGTATCTAATGTCAGGATTGTTATTATTATTATTATTATTATTATTAATCCCTCTGTTGGTGGCAGCACTGGAAGAGCTTGTTGGATTATTTCCTTGATAGGTGGAGTCCTGTAGCGTAATGGTTGGAGCACTTGCCTCGCCAGCGAGAGGATCCGGGGTCGATTCCTGAGGCAAGTCTCCCACGGCTGTTTGTGGGGACGCTGCTGTGCGCAATTGGCTGCCACGTTTCACCCACAAAATACAGTCACTCCACGTTACAGTGTATATTCCGTGAAGCGCTTTGAGACATCCCGATGACGTGATCAGGCACTACATCAAATGCAAGGATTATTATTATTAATGTAACTTTAATGTAACTTCAGGGCTGTTAGTGGGACATTGCTGTAAACAAATTGGCTGCTGCCTTTGCCTATAATATACACAGTCACCACACTTTATAGAGAATCCTGTGAAACGCTTTTAGACATCCTCCCGATGTGAACTATAGCTGAAATATTGTGTTCTTTTCTGGGCACCACACTTTAGGAAGGATACCAAAGCCTTGGAGAGGGACCAGAGGAGATTTACCAGAATGGTACCAGGGATGAGGGACCTCAGTTACGTGGAGAGAACCAGAGATGTTGGGATTGTTCTCCTTAGAGCAGAGAAGGTTAAGAGCAGATTTAATAGAGCTGCTCAAAATTATGAGGGGTTTGGAGAGTAGATCGGGGAGAAACTGTGTCCACTGGAGGGTGGGTCAGTAACCAGGTTTAGGATAACTGGACAAAGAACCAGAGGGGAGATGAGGAGACATTTTTTTTCCCAGGAGAGTGGTTACAGTCTGGATCCCACGGCCCGACAGGGGGTGGAAACCGATTCAACAACAACTTTCAAAAGGGATTTGGATAAGGACTCGAAGAGGAAGCATTTGCAAGGATGTGGAGAGAGAGTGGGGTGGGGGGAGTGTGGGGCTGATCGGGTGGCTCTTCCGAAGGCACGATGGGCCGAATGGCCTCCTTCTGCGCCGAAATATTCTGTGATCCTAAATTATCAAACGCCAGGATTATTATTATTGTTCAGGGTTAAATTTCTCAAACCCAATGAGCTTCTCTTTTATCCTGTATGTGTTCTCCTCTCGAGACGTGGATGATATCGAACAGTGTCCCCCACGTCCTATTGAGTATTCGGCACTTCACGCCCCGAAGAGGAAGGAGCCACGTTTGAACAGGGACTGGAAATCGTTTTTTTTTTGTGAAGAGGGCGGTTCAACGTCACACTTACAACTTCCCACTGCAGTGCAGAACTCCAACCAGACAAGAAAGGTCAGTTCCCAGAAGGTGGACCGACTGTCTCTGGTGGTGAAACCCCTACCTTCACTGTCGTAACATTCCCCCCACCCCCTCCCCACCTCCCCCCCCCCCCCCCCCAACTCCCTTGATGGCTCAACGTGAAGGGAGAGTAGGGAGAGTTTCTCCTGGTCCCTGGCCACAACATTCCCAGATAAAATTGGCAATTCCCTTTGTGGCTGTTGGCCAGACACTGCTGTGAGCAAACTGACTGCTGCGTTCGTCACGCTCCAGTTAAATATAATAATAATAAGCCTCGCATTTGATCCGGCACCTGATCGCGTCTTCGAGGCGTCTCAAAAGCGCTTCGCAGAACGTATTGCCAAGCGTAGTGACTGTGTATTTTGTGGGCGGAACACACTTCACAGTATATCCTGTGAAAGGCTTTGGGACGCGCCTCTGATGTGAAAGGCGCTGCACCAGAATGTCGGTAAGGACTATACCTGTGCAACCGACCTTTGGAAATTTCCCCATGTCTGGAATGGAATGCGCTCTCTCTCTCTCTCTCTCCCTCTCTCTGGAGGGACGCTCCCCCCCCGCTTGCCTAATTCCGGAGAGTATTAGGCACAGGTTGGCAAGAGCCAAGGCTCGGGGGGAGCCCAGAGTGTGCGTTGGGGTTACAGCTGGAGTGTAACCCGCTGAAACCTCAAAGCTCGGCCATTGATAGCGCTGTGTGGCCGAGCCTTCCCGCTGCTCCTCCAGCGAGGACCACCCTCCCCGTTAGGGCTTTGGCTGTGGGGTGACCAGGAGCTGAGGGGGAGGATTCCCTGCCCCCAGTGACTGGTCTGTTCTTCCAGGTCCTGCCGTTTAGCCAGGCTGGGCTGTGCCGGCCACCCCCTCCACCGACCCCCTACCCTCCCCGCCCTCCACCCCCTCCTGATCCCAAACCCCCAGCTCGGGTGAGAATCCCTGACTGTCCAGCGCCTCCTGACCTGAAAGGCGCCGAGTAAATGTCATGAATTGTGGTTGAACGAGAGCAGTGAGCCAGTGAGTGAGTGAGTGAGTGAGCGTGAGTAAGTACGTGAGTGAGTGTATGTGAATGAGCGATTGAGTGAGAGTGAGTGGATGTGAGCGAGAGTGAGCGTATGTGAGTGTGAGTGTATGTGAGTGAGTGTGAGTGTATGTGAGTGTATGTGAGTGAGTGTGAGTGAGTGATTGAGAGTGAGTGAGTGTGAGTGAGTGAAGAGCAATTAATGAATGAGTGACTTTCCCATGCTCTGTGTGTGAGTGAGTGTATGTGAGAGTGAGTATATGTGAGTGAGAGTGAGTGTATGAGTAAGTGTATGTGAGTGAGCCACTGCGCCGGGCATGCTAACGAAACTGGCATCCCTCAAATGGGGAGCTGAACGTACGTGACACAACTTA